GTATAAAGCTGTATAGGGGCCTTGCAGGTTTGTCTTGCTTAACGTTGCCCCCACAGAGTCCCATGGCTGGACCATACGCACCTTAAAAATGCCAGAAAAGTGGCACTCACAGGAATGCTGCTGAAGTAGCAAATGGGTTGACGAGCAACTACCTGCCTACCCTGCTTGCTTTGTCCTCACAGGTCGCATATTCCCTGCACCAACACATTTCATGCAAAGGGCCCTGAAATTTCCCCCCACCTAAGAAGTATTTATTTGTGGACCCTCAGAGCAAGACAACACTAAGCTCTGGGAATGAAGGAGCATGTCTGGAGTATTCAGAGCAGCTCTCCCCAAAATGAAAACTCAGGTCATGCTGCCTGGGATCCATCCCAGTTCAACCAGTTGTCAATGGGAGATGGGGTTTCCTCACAAATGAACCTGCTCTGTGTTTAGCTTGAGATCCAACCCGTGAGACTCCCCGGCACGAGGGGCTGTCCCATGCAAAGTGAAGAGCAGGAGACATGTCCTCTGTAAGGCCAAAGGAAGAAAGGGCTTTATATCTTACCCAGACCCTGGTTCTGCTGCTCCCACTCGATGGTGTCAGGAACCTGGTAGGACACCCCGGCCAGCTGGGCCACAGGGTTTTCCAGGCCGGCTATGGGCTCCTGCGAGGTCTCGCCTGGAAGTGTGAAACCTGGCAGCTCAGTGTCACCCTCCATGCTTTCATCCATCGAATCTATGTCTTTGTCCTCCTCATCTTCTTCTTCCTCCTCTTCTTCCTCCTCCTCCTCTTCATCCTCTTCCTCACCCTCTGGCCAGGGAGACATAAAAGCAACATCAGGAAAGATCCCATAAGACAGAAGATTCATACATCTCTATAGGTGAGCACAAAGACAGCCAGAGGATACCGCTTCTCTAAAGGCAGACCAGTTGAATGAACTTCTGCCTGTTTTCTAACGGGAAAGACACCCAAAGAGGTTAATTTGGAAGAGCTCGCCACCATTTGAAGTTGCTAAGTAACAATGAGATGTTGTCTTGGACTGTCAAATGCATTAGTGGGAAATACTGTTATTTTGCTTCCTAATAGTGGAGTACAAACAAGCACGCGCTGTGTACAAATACCTGAGGATATATAACCATAGTGCTCTCATCAACTAATTTCAGCTCAAGTGAGAACTATTTCCCTGATTCCCAGTCTTGGAGACAGCAGTAAGTTGGTTCTATTTTTAATTTTTATTAAGCTCTAGAAAAGGATGCTTAGACTTGTAACAGCCCCTCCTCCAGAAAAAGCGTCTCGCTTTGGTGCACGCTGGCGGATCGGCTCCCGAGCGCGGGAGAGCAGCGGTGATGGCAGTGATGCTCAGCAGGTGTGAACCAGAGCTCCTGTCACAACGGATGTACACCAGACAAAGGTATGACCCAGGAAGACTTAATTCAACACTGCAAAGAAGGCAGCGCAGCCAACGCTTCACGTGAGAGCAGGTAAATGTGACGCTGAGGAAATCCCTGTGGATTCTCCGCTAAGGCAGATACCCCATCTTATTCCAAAGCTGACTGTACTGTTAACATATGGAGAGAGAAATGTTCTGAACCACCACTAGCCGCAGATGCTGAAGAAAGACTAGAGCAGGGCACACACAGAGCCAGTCTTCTGACAGCCCCTCTTCCCAGCTTTTTGTTATCAAAGACTCAGGGACTTTCTGAGCCCGAATTTTCATCTGAGCTACTAACGGAGCTACCCACCGTGAAAAGACAGTACCTGGAATAATGACATGCTTTGAATTTCTGATGGTTAGATTTTTCAAAAACAAAAGCTAAAACGTAATATTTATGCACTTTATCTAATTTAGAAGAAGCTCTGCTCAGCCCTGCAAAAAAACTCCCTCCTGATGTAGTCAGACTGGGAGAGCCCATCACCCTGCGTCTGAGCAGCTGGCTTAGCCATGGGGCCTAAGACCATGTTAAAAACTAACAATCCAGCCAAATCAGCATTTGTTATCTAGATATCCCTTCATTTCTGTTGGAGTTTTACCTCCTATAGGTTACAGACGCTGCAGTAAGATGGAGCAGCTGGGACAGGAAGGACCCTGAGGGGCTGCACACACCATACGTGCTGCAAGGGGAGCCGGTGATGCTTCACTCTTCTCCTTTCTGCTGTGGGATGCAATGCCACAAAACACCCAAGAAGCAAACTGGGGAACTTTGGGGAAGCGATTTAGGCGGTGGCTTTTTGGCGCGTTTTAAAACCACAGCATTCGCTGTGCTGTTGCATGGCATCTCCCTTCCTCCTAATTCAAGGATTTGCTTTAAAACACTGCCTGTTTCTTCCAGCTCACCAGACAAGACGATCCCGCTTACCACCTTTCAGTTCCAGCCCTGCATTTCATACAAATGAGCCGCTGTTTGAATTTAGCTGCATCACCCTGCATCATCAGCACCTGGAAAGGAACGATCGCTCCTGCAAACAATTACACTACACCGAGCATCTAAAGGAGCTTTACTGGGATGTAGTTAGCCCCTTAAATTCCCTTTACATTTTATAGGCAGTTTCTATCTTATAACGTACCCGTCATTTCAAATCAACTTAAGAATTTTCTCTATCAAACCGCATGTTTTCGTACAAAATACACAGCTTCTGCAAACCTGAGAATGGCACCCGGAGAACGCTTGCAGGAAACCTGCAAAGACAAGTTGTTGTAAGTCTTTTGCCTCTGCTGAGAGCAACGCAGCTATAAACATTTCCAAACTTTAATAGCAAAGACACTAAACAGCTAGCACACCGGAGAGGAGGAACAGGAACAGAGGTTTTCCCTAGATGGACTGGGTGAAAAAGCAGCCAAGAAAAAACAGGGATCAGATATTTGTCTCTGAAAAACTAGTTTGGGACAAGGTTTTTAGAAGCTCCTTGTGATTTTAGCAAGCCAAATCAAAGACACCCGCCAGGATTTAGTTTTGAAGCAGCAGCTAGCCATCTCTGTACCTCCAAAGTCTAGCAGGCAGCCAAGCTGAACACCCGAATTGAAAGTGCCAAGACTAGTTATCACATCTGATCATCACCAAGCTACATCAATCATCACGCAGCCACAGCATAAAGATATGAATAATGTAGTTCTTGCAGAACAACCGCTGCGAGGGGAAAAGAAAAGGCTCTTAACTTCTCCTCCTCCTCCTCTCTAGCTCATTCTCACTTCTGAAAACAGCTTTTTAACCCCCCATCCCAAAATGCCAACAGCCTGCCTTGCTGCAAGGTGCAGCGCAGAGCACCACTTGGTGGTCACAAGGAGGAAGCTACGCTTCCAAAAAACCCACAAACTCCACAACTGTGGGATTTCAGAAGCCGAGGCGCAGCAGGGGCCCGGACTGAAAGCAGCGAGGACTGGAAGCGCGAAGCCCACCCAGCAGATTCAGAAGGCGTTCGCTTTTTCACGTGCCTTTGCAGCCCATGGTGAAACATTTTGCGTATCGTGCTTACATACGCCCTTCAGTTTTGGCTGAGGTTCATCTTGCAAAAGCAGCAAGATAAACATACCATGAAACGGTAGCGTCTCATGGTCAAGGCAAGTCTCCAACCAAAGCAATTGCAAGCACTGAGTTCTCTTGGGCACAGACGTGAATCTGTCCAAATCAGCTTCTGCTGCGAGCCACGCTTGCTCTATAGATCTTTATAAGTTACGTATAAGCGGATTTTGTTATTCCATTGCACGCACCGAATCCTAGTTCTTGCTTGCAACATGCCGTGTGGATCTACCAAAGAGGGATGGTATCCTGCCCCCTCTCCCGGCGACACCGGGAGACCTCAGCACTGAAAAACTTACAGTCCAAGCAGACGTTCGTATTTTCTACTGCAGTTAGGGTAATGCAAGAGTAGTCTAGGGCAGAGTTAAAGACTCATCTCCAAGAGTGAAGGAATCCAAAATCTGCCACTCTGACAGACTAAATAAGCACTGCATTCTGTAAAGTAGGCTCTGCTTCACCTTCACTGAAACAGGAAAGAAAAAAAATCAAGACACTTAACAGCTCCCCGCTGTGACAACGGTACAACCTAAGAAAGATGCAAGCAGCA